GAGAGAGAGAGAGAGAGAGAGAGAGAGAGAGAGAGAGAGAGAGAGAAAGTACTTGAAGAGTCGGTCCAAACTACTGATGATCTCAGAGGTGATGGGAGAACGGGCCAGAAGCCCCTCATGGTTTCCCTTCTTTTCACTGTTACACTGCTGACTCTGGTTCTGGGCAGGTGCATTTTTCTGGGTTATCCACAGATAGCCAGCCACCCACATGAAAGGCAGGGTACTAGCCAGCCTCACCATCCCATTAAACACTGTTTATACCAAGATCATTAATATACCCTACCCTTGGTTGTCATCAGGCTACACCACACGGAAACACCTCAACTGCACAAAAACATCAGCAGCTCGAGCTTCCTGGTGGCTGGAGGCTACCACGTAAAGGTGAGCACATCCTCTGAGGCCCCTTGGGTCAGTCGGAGCTTTGTTATGGTTTGCCGCTATTGCAGAAAGGCTGGGCCTTCTTACTTCTCTCCTAGATTTAGAATTGAGTGCACCTCTTCTGCTTGCACAGCTTTCTGGGTGCCCACCAGAGAACAGATTAAACTTTATCTCTCACTCTGATGTGCCCACCTTCCTCCCACCCCCCCAGAGAAGGAATAAGCTAAGAGCCATTTTTCTTAGATGCATAGACACCACTTCTACATCACAGCAATACCTACCAGGAGATCTGCTTATGTCCAACTAGGCATTCAGATTGTCATGGGCCACACTTGTCATTCGAGGATCTCACAGGGAGTACACCTCAATAGCAGCATAAACTCCTTCTCTCCAGTGGGAGTCCTCACATTCATCCAGGAGATACTGGCTTTGCTAAAGAAAGAGATTCCCATTAAGTGGGTATGGGGCCATCCAGATTTAGAAGTCTCAAGATTTATAAGAGTCAATATGTCTACAGACATACCTTTCAATGACTGCAAGGGATAAGCTAGTTCCCATGTATAATGGTTGCTATAAAGTATAGCATGCCTATTAGGTATTTATGGTCCTCCAGCCCCCTACCCCAAAGCAATTTGTATATCAGCAATCATTTTTATAATTAGGTTACTAAAAGGCATATGTTGACATTCTACCTGTAACAGAGCTGAAAATCAACCATAACTTGTTTCATTTGCTCAGAGGAAAAAAGGGGTTTGTTAACTCATTGTCAAAACCCCTAAAACTGTAGAAGAATGTTTTGTTTGTCATCTATAGATACTTTTCTCTCTTTTTAAAAAAAATTTAGGGGCTGGAGACTTGGTTCAGTGATAAAGAACACTGGCTGCTCTTCCAGAAGACCTGAGTTTAATTCCCAGTGACCACATGGCAGCTCACAAGCATCTGTAATAAGATCTGGTGCCATCTTCTGGCCTGTAGAGAAACATGCAGACAGAACACTGTATATAAAATAAATAAATAAATCCTTTTAAAAAACCTATACACTTAATAAATAAAAGTTTTTTTAAATTTTTTAATGACAGAAATAAAAATACAACTAAAACTGAAGCTTCTGGAAGAACCATATGATCTTGCCCATCTTTTCTTTAAATTAATTTTTATTTAAATTTAAGAACAATCTTATTTACATACCAATCCCAGTTCCCTCTCTCTCCCAGCCTCCCATCCATCATCCTACTACCCCCATCCACTCTTCAGGGAGGGTGAGGTCTCCCGTGGGGAATCATCAAAGTCTGTCACATCATTTGGGGCAGGGCCTAGGCCCTCCCCCATGTATCTAGGCTAAGACAGTATCCCTCCATAGGGATTGGGCTCCCAAAGCCCATTTGTGCACCAGGGATAAATACTGGTTCCACTGCCAGAGGCCTCATAGACTGTACAGGCCCCACAACTGACACCCATATTCAGGGGACCTGGTTTGGCTTTATTCAGGTTCCTTCTACCTCTCACCCCAGAGCTTGCTGTTTCAACATCTACCTCTAACTCATATTTCTGTCTAGCTTGCAGGATTTGAATTAAGTAAAACACAGGCTTCCATCAGTGGGGAGACAAAAACCACTAAAGGAGAGAAAATCTATTCATCACCGTATACCTCTCCTCAGAGACTGGAAAATCTGCATTGTAAATATGAAAAACAAGATGAAATATATAGGTATTGTGCATGTTCTTGTACAGATTCTAACTCAGGCAGAAAGGACAGGACAGTCCCCAATGAACGCCTCCTCTGAGGATGAGTGGAGGTCATAGCTTTGATCTAGAACAGGGTATGGTGGGGTATTGCCTAGAGACAGTAGAATTTTCTGAAATGACTGAAGGGGCATGGAAAAAGAAATGCATTACATGCTTGGTTTCTTGGATTTATCTTTAAAACTTTTAAAGATTTATTTCTTATTTTATGTGTATTGAGTGTTACACCTGTATGTATATGTACCGTGTGCATATGCAATGCCCACGGAGGCTAGAAAAGAGCATCTGATCCCCTGGAACTAGAATTACAGATATCTGTGGATTGCCATATGGGTGCTAGGATCAGAACCCAGGCCAGCAAGTGCTCTTAACCATTGCCATCTGTGCAGCCCACTCTTTCCTTTTTTTTTTTTATCTCTCTCTCTCTCTCTCTCTCTCTCTCTCTCTCTCTCTCTCTCTCTGCGCGCGTGCGTGCGTGCGTGCGTGCGTGCGTGTGTGTGTGTGTGTGTGTGTGTGTGTGTGTGTGTGTGTGTGTGTCTGTGTCTGTGTCTGTGTCTGTGATGTGTGTGGAAGAGTGGCTTGCACATGCCATGGTACATATATGAAGTCCAGAGAACAAATTTTGGGGTCATTTCTCTCCTTCCACCTCTGTGCAGCTTCTGGAGGTCAAATTCAACGAGGATGCCACTGCAAGTTCTTTGTGCACTCTGTCAGCAGTATGTGGGTGTGGCCTTCTCACTGGAAAGTCTTAGCCAGAGCTATATGCCACTTTGGTGTCTCTACAGTTACAGCTCAATGGGTTGCTGATAATTTTTTTTTTTCCTTTCTCCCCTTTTTTTTTTTTTTTTTTTTTTTTTTTTTTTTTTTTTTTTAGCTTTGGAATTGTACTCTGGGAAATTGCCACTGGAAAGATCCCATTTGAAGGTAAAGAACATGAAGGCTGTCTCTGCTGGGGGCCGTGGTTGGGTCCTCTTCTGGGAGATCAGAAATCCCCCATTAGTGCTGTCCTTGCCACTCACTCCTCTGATGCAGGGATTACCTGAATTGATTAGTGGAGTCATTAGAAGCTCTTTGTTTCTTTTTCTTTATTTTGTTTTTTCTCCATGTTTGAAGTCCTTCATTCTAATCCTAACTATCAATACCCAGAAAGAAGCATGTGAGTAGCATTTCTAAGCTTCCCATCCTATCCTTTCCATGGCAGGCTGTAATTCTAAGAAGATCTACGAGCTGGTAGCTGAGGGCCGGAAGCAAGAGCCAGTGGGTGAAGATTGCCCCAAGCTATTGAAGGAGATCATTGATGAGTGTCGGTCCTATGAGCCCTCCCAACGGCCCTCTGTGGATGGTAGGATTCTTTCTGGCATAAAGAATGCAAGTCTCATGTTTAGTTCACAAATGTGAAGGTTTCTTTCATTCTTTTTTCTTTTATACTCCAAAAAAAGTAGTTCACACCCACAGGTAATTCTGCCCTTCTGGGGACATTTAATAATATCCGAAAACATTTTTGGTTGTTGCAATTCAGGGAAAAGGGAGGCAGGGTGTGTATTCTTAGCATCTAATGACTAGAGGTATAGTTTAGTGGTACAGTGCTTGCCTAGTATATGAAAGCCCTAGGTTCACAGCCCCCAACACAAACACAAAAGCTTAACATGAAGCTCTCCAGTGTACATGGCATCTCTCAACGACTAAGAATGATGCAACGAAGATGTCAGCAATGTAGGCCTTCACAGCCTGGAAGCAGGTTTTCTCCAGCCTGTTCTTTCCATCATCCCTCCCTCTCTTTCTTTGTCCATTCATTTCTGCTTTCCTCCCTTCCTTCTTCATTCCTTTTTTTTTCAGCATCCTTGGGATTATTTCTTTACTTAGAATTTTTTTTTAGACGGGATCTCACTATGCAGCTCTGGCTATCCTGGAACTCACTATGTAGACTGAACTGGCCTTGGCCTTGAACTCACAGAGATCCACCTGCCTCTGTCTCCCAAGTGTTAGTTAGAATTAAAGGTGTGGTGGCTTATTTACTTATTTGAGTGTATGTGTGTGATATGTCCTGAAGAGGGCATCAGCTGTCCTCTATCCATCACCTGTTGAGGGCTGAGCTGGTCCAAGGCTTTCCCTGAGGGCCTGATGTATGGAGAAGGAAAACAGTTCCTTCTGTGAAACCAGGAATATGCTTGATAGAGTGGGTAATGGCCTATGACCTGGGCCTGGGGAGAGCTGAGGTTTCAGATTCTAAGAACCCAACTCTTCCTGCTGTACAGGGCTATGGTTATCAGTCCCAAACTGCTGTGTACTTGGTCTATTATAGTCTTGAGATATCCCTGTTTATGCTGACTTTGTCCTATGTCTCCCCTGGAAATAACATGTAAGATGCTGTACTACTTAATAAGCTTACTTAGCATAAGACATAGCTTAGGCAAGACCTCCCATCCCCAAACTTTCATATCTTCTCTATCTTCTATTTTTCTTGTCATCTGATCTCCCTGTCCTCTCTCTCAGGACCCTGTCACTGAAGAATGACCTGCTGGTCCAGGTCACCCGCTTTTTCTTTTTGAGGCAGGATCTGTTCCTGAACCTGGGGGCTTCATTTTCTCAGCCAGCCTGGAAGCCATAAAGCTCCATTAATCCTTTTGGCTCTGACCCCCTCAGAGTTGGGGTTACAAGTGTGCCAGGATTATAGGCATGCACTGCCATGTCTCATTTGGGATTTGGGTTTTCATAAATGACATTTTAGAGGCATGTGTGTAGATGGTACCAGCCAGACCCAGCAAACACAGTTTCTGTTTGTATGTATTGTCCGCTGTAGATAGGTATTTGTGTTTCTAGCCTGGCTGTCAGTAACCTGCTCTTGTCTCACTTTCTGTTCATTCATTCATAGCAATCTTAGAGAGACTGTCTGCAAGTAAAACTGAATTGTGTATTCAAACCTCATCTGAAGACTCCCTGGACAAGAAGCTGGAAGAAGCCGGGCATGGTGCAGGTCTTTAATCCCAGTACTCAGGAGGCAGAGGCAGGCGGATCTCTGTGAGTTTAAGAACAGCCTGGTCTCAAGAGCTAGTTCCAGAACAGCCTCCAAAGCCACAGAGAAACCCTGCCACGAAAAACAAAAAACAAAAAACAACAACAACCAACCAAACAAACAAAAAAGCTGGAAGAGGAACAAACTGGACATTCGTCTTTTATATATGTTAGTATCAAATTTTGCTAGGTTCTAAATTCTTTTTTTTTTAAATGGGGTCTCACCATTAGTCCCAGCTAGCTTGGAACTTGATATATAGAATAGACTAGGCACGAACTCAAAGAAATCTTCCAGTTTTGCCTCTTGAATGCTGGGAATATGGGCATGGGCCACCACACCTGGCAAAGTTCTCATTTGTTACAAATAGAAAACAGGGGCTGGAGAGACGCCTCAGAGGTTAAGAGCACTGGCTGCTCTTCCAGAGGACCTGAGTTCAATTCCCAGCAACCACATGGTGGCTCACAACCATCCGTTATGAGATCTGGTGCCCTCTTCTGGTGTGCAGATATACATGGAAGCAGAATGTTGTATACATAATAAATAAATAAAATCTTTAAAAAAAAGTGTCTGAGTTAAAAAAAAAACAACAAATAGAAAACAATTCCACTGGGGCTGGAGAGATTGCTCAACAGTTAGGAGCACTGGCTGCTCTTCCAGCACCCACATGGCAGTTCATAACCGTCTGTAACTCCTGTTCCAGAGAATCTGACACCTCATGTATATATAAAGGTGGGCAAAACACCAATGCACATAAAATAAATAAATTATTACAAAAGAGATTAGAAAGAAAACCTATGCCAAGTTCATGAGACCCCACACACACACCAAAAAGTACACCAAGGAGCCAACTCACTAATGCAAACGCACAAGGTTTAATGTTAAATTACAAGCCTCAGCAGGAACCCTGTCCAGCAAACTGGCACAGCAGCTGCAGGAAAAGGGGTGCCTGGCCTCAATTGCAAGGGGTTTATAAAGGAAAATCTCGAAAGCAGGGTGGTATGTGCCTTGGCTGTTCAGGATTGGGTAAGAGTAGGTGACCTTTGGATTCATTGACATGGGGGCGAGGGGAAGTAGGGGAGATGGAAGGGCAGGAAGAGAGGGAGAGGGAACTGGGGTTGGTATGTAAAATGAAAAATAATTTTTTAAAATAAGAAAAAGAAATACCATGATCCTTACAACTCTTATAAAGGAAAACATTTAATGGGGTGGCTTACAGTTTCAGAGGTTTAGGCCATTATCATCATGGTAGGATAAGGAAGCGTGCAGACAGACATGACGCTAGAGCTGAGAGTCCTACATCTTGATCAGCAGACAACAAGAAGTGGTTTGAGACACTGAGCGTGACGTAAGCATATATGAGACCTCAAAGCCCTCCTCAAACAAATCCATCCCTATTCCAACAAATTCACACCTCCCAATAGTGCCAGTTCCTATGACCTCATGGGGACCAATTACATTCAGACTACCACAACCACTAAATAATCTCTCCCGTCCCTTTTGCTTTTTAGGACAGGTTCTTACTCTGTAGTCCAGACTGTCCTGAAACTCCCTACGTAGCCCATGCATGCTCAAACTTATAGTGATCCTTGAAGTTTCAGTACCTTGAATCCTGGGATGTTAGGTGTGAGCTAACACAACCAGCTAGGATTTAAATTCCTTACCAAGATTATTATTATCTGTCCATGGCAATTTGTAAGCAAAACCTCCCTGAACTAGTAGTATCTTCCCATATATTTCTCTTCCATCATCTCCTGCCTTTGAGAGTCCCAAATTCCTTTCCTTTGTTGCATCATTTCTCCATAGATGCATTGTTTTCTTGTTAACAATGCTATATATGAAAGAATTCTATGCCATTGCTTCTTATTTTTTATTTTAGTTTTAAGACAGAGTCTTACTTTATAACTCAGACTAGCCTGAATCTCAAGGTCCTCCCCTAACAGCCTCCTGAGTGCTGGGAGTACAAGCAGCTAAGCCACCCTTTGAGATGCTTGCCACTGAGCTTCTCCCACATGCTGGACACTGGCAAGGCTGGAACACTTTGTTCTTCTGCAGCTCATCTTTTGTTCCAGGAGTCTACTCCAGCTTGTTAGCTTAAAGGGTACTGGAAGTATTAAAGCGTTAAGTGTAAATCATGACTGGATATCCTATCAGAACACTTAGAATGTTTACTTTTCACTGAGAAGCCCTTTACATTGTCTAAATTTCTTTAACCATGTAGTACTAATGTATTATTATTATTTCATTTTTATTATTATTCAAGTACTGCATCTTGAACCCAGGGCCTCAAAGATGCTAGATAAATACTATACCACTGTGGTATACTTACTAATTTCTTAATTAAAAAATTTGCTGGAAATTACTCAGTATTGATGTTTTTCGAGACAAGAGTTTCACTGTAGCTTTGGAGCCTGTTCTGGAACTCACTCTGTAGACCAGGCTGGCCTCAAAAATACAGATATCCTCCAGCCTCTGGATTAAAGGCATGTGCCACCACTGCCCAGCCAATGCCCAGGTGAAAAGTAATTTAGTGCTGGAGAGCTAGAGAGATGACTCGGCAGTTAAGAGCATTGGCTGCTCTTCCAGAGGACCTGGCTTCAATTCCCAGCAATCATATGGTAGTTCACAACTGTCTGTAACTTCAGTTCCAGGGGATCTGACACCTTCACACAGACATACATGCAAGCAAAATACCAATTCACATAAAATACAAATAAATACATAAAATTGGTGCTGGCCTTGGTAACAAGTGTAGAGAAGAAAAATTTGAAAAATTATTTCTATTGCTCTCTACTACCAATTCTTCTAAAAATTGGTAGCTGAATAAAACTGTGGCAATGTACACTCTGTGTCTGAAGTTTTGCTTTTAAAAACCTACAAGTGGGGGTGGAGAGATGGCTCAGTGGTTAAGAGCACCAGCTGGTGGTCTTCCAAGAGGTCCTGAGTTCAGTTCCCAGCAACCACATGGTGGCTCACAACCATCTGTAATGAGATCTTGTGCCCTCTTCTGGCCTGCAGGAATACATGCAGGCAGAACCCTGTATACTTAATAAGTAAATAAATAAATAAATATTTTTTAAAAAAGAGCACTGGCTGCTCTTATTTTTTTTTCCCCAAGAGATGATTTTTTATTAGTTAGAAACAAGGCTGCTTCACATGTCAATCCCTTCTTCCTCTCCCTCCCCTCCTCCCAACCCCCCACTAGACCCCACCTCATTCCCTCTCTGCTCCCCAGGGAGGGTAAGGCCCTCTATGGGGGTTCTCCAACGTCGGTCATATCATCCTGAGCAGGGCCTAGGCCCTCCCCCATGTGTCCAGGCTGAGAGAGCATCCCTCCATGTGGGATGGGCTCCCAAATCCCCCCCCTTTTTTTTTTTTTTTTGGTTTTTTGAGACAGGGTTTCTTGTGTAGCTTTGGAGCCTATCTTGGCACGCGCTCTGGAGACCAGGCGGGCCTCGAACTCACAGAGATTCGCCTGCCTCTGCCTCCCGAGTGCTGGGATTAAAGGTGTGCGCCACCATGCCCGGCTTCCAAAGTCCTTTCTTATGCCAGGGACAAATACTGATCCACTACCAGGGGCCCCATAGAGTACCGGGGCCTCCTCATTGACATCCATGTTTAGGGGTCTGGATCAGCCCCGTGCTGGCCTCCCAGACATCAGTCTGGGGTCCATGTGCTCCCCCTTGTTCAGGTCAGCTGTTTCTGTAGGTTTTACCAGCCTGGTCCAGACCTCTTTGTTCTTCATTCCTCCCTCTCTGCAACTGGGTTCCAGTGTGCAGTTCAGTAGTTCAGTGTTTTGCTGTGGGTGTCTGCCTCTGCTTCCATCAGCCACTGGATGAGGGCTCTCAGCAGAGGTCAGGGCCTAGCACTGGCTGCTCTTAAAACAAAACAAACAAAAAATCTAAGGAAGATTTCTTCTTTCAGAGACATGATTGAAAAAATCTTGTGCAGCAATTTAGACTTCCTAGGTAATTTATTGGAATAATTATTTTCTTTTTCTTTTTTTGGTTTATCGAGACAGGGTTTCTCTGTGGCTTTGGAGCCTGTCCTGGAACTAGCTCTTGTAGACCAGGGTGGCCTGGAACTCAGAGATCCTCCTGCCTCTGCCTCCCGAGTGCTGGGACTAAAGGCATGCGCTACCACCTCCCGGTTTGGAGTGGTTTTAAAGTGAAGAAATTGGAGAATTTTCTTCCTCAGTCTTCTTCCTGCTAGACTGTTCAAATGCAGAACGGTTTTTAAAAAGAGAGAGAGAGAGGGAGAGAGAGAGAGAGAGAGAGAGAGAGAG